GGTTTTGTACTTTAAACAGCTTGGCCAAACCTGTTATTTTTTTTCTCCATAGCCATTTGGATCATTGGAGACAGCGGAGACAACCTTGGCCTCCCTGACGTCCGTGTCTCCTGGTTCGGTTGGGGCGGACTGAGGTGGAAAGACCTTCTTCCCTTCTTTTTCAACTCCATGCATGGAAGAGCAGCTCCTGATGTCCTTCTCATCCACTGTGGCGGCAATGACATGGGGTGGTCAGCAGTGTGAATCTGGTGAACATGATGGAGGACCTGCACCGGCTTCACCTTCTACACCCTCATATCACACTGTTGAGAACTGTTCTTCCTTCACAACCCAATGTTCCACTCACTCTGCAGCTCTCTGGTCCCCTTTAATTATTTTAACAATTTTTTAAATGTCCCGACACTTTGTTTCCTGTTTTTTTTTATAAAATGTGATGTAAAAAAATAAATGTTTTTGCTCAATTACTGGAATTTCTTTGGTTAAGACAAAAAAGGAAGAATCATTTGCCAAGTTGTTTCTCCAACAGGCCTGTTTTAAATCCCAACAGTTTCTTAGCAGCCAATAGAAACGTGTTCTTTACTAACTTTACTTGGTTTAAGAATCTTGCTAAAATAAACAGTGCCGTAATGCAAAACCCAATCATACTTGTTATGTAAATATTAGCTTTGTAGATATTTTTTTACAGATAGATATTTGTGTGCAAAAAAACCCATAAACTTAAATAATTTGTCATTTATGGAAAAACAAAATACAGGTATAAATGATGATGTGAAAGTATTGCTCTTTAAATGTAATACTATTCATCTTTATGAAGAAAAACTCTAAAATGTCCTGTACAGCAACATGACAGAAGAAAGGTGGTCTGTCTGTCAGAATGTGCTGAACAGATTTGCTCTATCAAGAGGAGCGTTTTGTGTAAGAGTTTATGTTATTGTAATATTGGTTTGGGTTATGTATCTGTGACACGATCCAGGTGGAATGGAAGGTGCCACTAATATTAAAAGGATTAAAATAGGTTATAAAAAAAACAAGGCAAGCAGAGCGACAGCCAAAGCAAATTAAAAAGGGACATTTATTACAAAACCTTGATGATGATGCCAAGGGAAAAAAAAGCGTTCAATCGAGTGTGCGCAGGGCCCCAAGGGACAAGGCGGTCCAGTCCGGCCCTGCTGAGCTCTCGACCAAGGAACCTCCAAGGCCGGCGTAGTCGTCTGGGAACCACAGGATCCCCGCACGGTGGATCCAATCCGCCTCCTCCTCGGCCCGGCCCCTGTGGCACACAACAACTCCGGCAGTAAATAGGTCCCCGGCACCAGACCACTCACAGAGAGAGAGAGAGAGAGAGAGAGAGAGAGAGCAACTCTAAAACTGCCAGGCACTGATCAATTACTTACGCGCAGGGGCAGAGTAAACAAAACCCTCTGCCTGTTCACCTCCCGCCCTGCCTCTGTTCATTGTTTGCCAGTCCAGTCCACACCCCGCTCCCAGGTGTGGGTAATTGGGGAGGATTAACACAGATGGGATGCAATGTTGCAGCAATCACTAAAAACACCCATACAGTTAAAAAACAACCTAAAAGCACCTAATCAATTAGAAAACATGAAATATGAAATAACATAGGAACATTAAACATAAGAACAACATTACCACTCTGTGACATATCGCCACATCAGCATGTAAATGCTGAACCAATCTGGAATAAAGAGGGATGCTGACCACTTTGCTTCCACAGTCTCACATCCTGGGTCATCTTTCTCTTCCTCAGCTCTTCGATTTTCTTACCAATTCATGGAGAGCCAAATAGACCCACATTTAAAATAAAATAAAAAATCCTGTAATATTCATACACATATTCATACATCCCCAAAGATGACCTTTTCCCATGTGCCAGGGGTCAAAGTAGTGACTGATTTCCTTTTTTTCCTCCCACAAATACTTCTGCATCCATGTGTGGCGGTCAGTCACGACTTGCTGCAAATCGACCCCCCTCTCCAAAAGTGTGCTCAGACTTCGCACAAATCCCTCCTTCTCCATTCGCACACTATTTCCAACTTCATTGCTCTGAAAATAAACACAATTCTCCATTGATCTGTGAATAATTAACCATGAAATGCATTGGAATCATCAGGTAATGTTGTACCTGTACGAGTTGGATATAACTTTGTTTCTTTTGAGATCCATCATGGTGTAGCTGCCATATTTGGCTGAGTGTCCTTCAGAAATGCAAGTTATTACTTAATTTACATTTGATAGCAAAGGAATAAAATAAATAAATTGAAACATATTCACCAGGTGAATCAGCTCGCATGTCACCACCAAGAGTCACAGGTCCAGATTCAGTAGCCTCCTGGATGAAATCAGCTTGCTCTAGCTGCCACTGCCAGCTCACTGTTGGAACTGAGCTTTTACTACTCTTAAACAGAAGAGTGAGAAAAAAATTCACCCCCCTCAGAGTTGTCATGAGTGTAAACTAGATAATTTAAACAAAAAACATGTTTTGGTACCAGGCTGTAAACATGTTTATTTCTGCTGTGAAATTGGTATTTTTAACATGGGAGTCAATGCTCGCTTCTGACACCAGCCCCCAGCGGATGAGGGTGGAACTGCAATTTTTGGTACTTCCGGGTTGAGACCATTTTCTGAGCCGCATTGTGGGGGCTTGGTTGGCCCCCATAAGAGCCTTCACGGATGACTTGATAGTAATGACCACATCTGACCCAGGGTGCAGGTGGCTCGGACTTGATCGGCTCATCTCCTGGGCAAGGATGAGCTTCAAGACTGCAAAGTCCAGGTCCCTGGTCCTGAAGAAAGGTAAAGTTTCCGATCGTTATTACTTTGTCCTGTGAGAAACTGTGATTCCATCAGTGACTGAAAGACTGGTCAAGAGCCTGGATAAAGTCTTTAACAGCTCCTTGAAGGACTCAGCTGCAATAAAACAAGCTAAGCAAGACCTGATGGCCTGGCTTTCCACCATTGATAGATCTGGCCTTCCTGGGAAATTTAAAGCCTGGATCTACCAGCACGGAGTCTTGCCAAGAATCCTCTGGCCCTTGTTAGTCTATGACAGTGGTCCGCAAATGGCAGCCCGCGGGCCACGTCCGGCTCGAGAGCCCTCTTTTTGTGGCCCCCAAACCCTGCGCGCACCCCCCACCCCCGATGGCCGACCGGGAGGTGTAGGATAGAGCTGAGGAAAATAATCAAATAATCAAAGCATGAAATGCGGGCATAAACGATTTTGCATCATAGAAGAGTACCGTAATCAATTATAGTGGAATGTAGTTTTGTTATTTTAACGGCGGCACCAGCGCAGCATCCACATCTGTCAGAGCGGTGTTCTCCACACTTACCGGGTAGGAAACTTTGATCTGTCTTCATGTGGTACTGCAGGGCTGAGCGCTGGAGTTATAACCTGAGACTGAACCCGAATCGAATCAGCCCGACCGGTTCTGTTGGATTTGGGCCGTAAATTATGTTAATTGAGTGGGTTGTTGCGCGGCGCGCTCCGCTTGCTCGATCAGCGACTGAGACAGAGAGAGAGAGGGAGATTGTCTGCTCACACAAGAGAGAGGATCGGAGGACGTTCCTCCAAACACGCATTATTATTTTCATAATTTCATTATTGTTTCTCCTGGAAGCGCTCAGTCAGACCGAGTGCTGTGATGTCGGGAGGTCCGGTCTTGGGGAGGGAGCGGGGTCAGTGGCGGCGGCTGCAGCGTAATCATCCATCTCTTTTATTTAGGGACACGGAGAAGTTAAAATGAGAGAGAAATAGAAGATAGATGTTCTTGTTCCACTTTATTCTTTTGTTTCATGATAAACTGATGTTAAATTCAGCTTAAAGAGAAACTGGGAGGAAGCTTTGGTTCATTTTAAGTTACAGGAGATCTGTCTCCTATCTGCTCCTCCAGAGACAGCATGGACACGAGGGTTACATGGTGAGGGTTACATGGTGAGGGTTACACAGGACAGGTTAGTGCAGTCACACAGCCGAGCTGGAGGGGGACAGGTGTTGTGCTTCTTTATATTGCAAGCTTGTGTGTTATGTGCATTACAGCCAGAAATCCAAACAGCAGCCCCCCCCCACCCCCCCGATCAAAGAGTGATCTTAAAACCATGGTGAAAAACCTATAGCAGAGGCTTTCCAATGGGATAGGGGCCCACCAACGCCTAGTGGCATCTCTACCCACCACCAGAGCGCTGCAAACCAAAAACAGGCTGCAGAGAGAACATCCTGGAAACCACAGCTGAAATTAAACACAACACTGAAACACACAAAAAAGGGGCTAAAAATGCAGCATGACATTTCCTACACCCAAAGTACTCTGGAGCACTGGACACTCCTACTTTGTGCACTCCTGCACATTTCCAGCCTGCCTTGGAGCCTATGTTGACCCAGTGGTCACTATGACTCTTGGCTGGCGGCTCCATGGACCTTGCTTGCTCCAGGTCAAAGGAGCGAGAGACTGAACAAAGCCATCCATGCCACGGCCAAGAACAGTGCCCACCATCGTCCTTTGTCTCATGGCTCCCCACTCGGCCCAGGGAGCAGACAATGGCCCAGTCCTAATACTCACACTGCGCCTACGGTCTTCTGTGAAGTGCACTTGGAGGAAGTGTGTGGCAAGATTTTGAGTGTGTGGTATACAAGTGTGCAAATAATTGCCAAATTGAGATGGAGCATTGCGTCATCGACCAAAAAGCATGCTGGGATGTTGGTTGTTGTGCTACCGTGTGCTACTTAAAAAAACTTTCAAACAAACAACCAAACAATTATTTGAAATAATCGCTGCCCACTTGACATTGACTTTAATTTTTTTTAATGTTGTCTTTATTTTTTTTAGGATATTTGACAACATTTTTATTACATTTTACATAATTTTACTTACATTTCGTTAATTACAGCCGGCTAATCTGTAATATTTAGATATATTTTTCCTTTTAAACCAAATACAAGTTTTGGTCCCGAGGTTAATCTTGATTGTAGTTCCAGTCAGTTTGTGTTCCGTGACGGAAGAAAAAAATAGACGGAACTTCCGTCCGGGATGCTCCTTCACGGTGTTTACTGTTTTTTTTTCTACAAGGTTGAAAAAAAGAAGCGGATAAACGTATTGGAATTTGTTGTGCCCACCTCTAACAGCACAGCAAATGTTAATGGCGAATATTAACAAAAACGTGGAGCCAGCACGTCAAACAGCGACTGGATGCAGCAGAGGGAGAAATCTGAGAGATTTACTCTGAAACATCAGCCGCACACTCAGCAAGAGCTTTCACGTTTAACGGAAAATGAGCAACGGAGGAAAAAGTCCCCATGATCAGCTGGGCATGCTAGGTTTGTATATTATTATATGATGAAGTCACTAACTGTTAGTGATCGTTTTCATGTTGCTAAACGATATACCTTCTTTCGGTGTGTCTTTAGCTTAGCATAAAAACTATGTGCCTGGGCCCGGACCGGTCATCTCCTATTCAGCATGTTTTACTTGTTTCCCTGTTTCGACACACCTGATTTGAATTAGTGGGAGTCACGTGGTTCTGTAGAACCCGATAAGCTGCTGAATCAGCGGGAAAACAAATAAAAATGATGTGTTCTGTCCAATCACCATGCATTGTCAGAAAGGCATATGTGTAACAGCGTATGCCTTTCTGACAGCACACACAGTCTGATATGGAACTACAAAGTGTTCAAAATTAAATTCATATTTATACATTTTGAAATATGTATCAACATAAATAAATCCTAGACTATGATTTAATCCGACAATAAACTAGTGAAAAAACATAATTTTATGCATAATCTAAGATCGTTATTATTAAATAATTTTCATTCTTCTAAAATGTGTTTGTTAAAAATCTTTATTTCAGAGGCAATTTTTCCATAATAATTCAAATTATTGTTGAGGCCTTTTTTTCATTCTTTCAGTTTTAATTACATAACGTTCTTTTCACAAAGTCATCGTTGATTTCATAATGGTGTTTTTCTGATGGCTGATTAATTTCATAGTGACACGTTTCAGCAGAATTTCTTAGTCTGACAATCAAAACAAACGGGGTGGTGCTAGTTTGTGATTGGCTTCTTATTCCTTTCAGACAAAAGCAATCACACACAAAGTTACAACTGTAGGACAGGAAGCACAAAAAGACAATGGAGGAAATCGTAGCAAAGTCCTTATTGCGCAGCTTTAGACCCAATTTCCAGACAAAGGGACAAATTATGCTGGACATCACGGGACTCGCATATGAGTGAGTTTTCAACTAAACTTTGGGATTTGCCAAGAGTTGAGGCTGTTGACATGGAACAACCTGGTCCTTCAGACATTCTTCAACACAAAACAACAGATGAACGCATTAGAAAATTTGGAGGCCTCTAACTTTTTTGTAAGCGAGTGGGTCCACAACCTTGTAGGGCTGGGCGATATGGCCTCAAATCTATATTGCGATATAATCTGAAGCATGTGCGGTAACGATATATATTGCGATATTTTTTTCTTCTGTTTATAGATGTCAAAATGACATGCTTTTAAATATCCTCATGTGGCAAATATATGCCACTTGAGGCATATAGGCCTCCTCCTCCGCTCACTCCAGGCTTGCAGTCACTGCCATTCTGTTGTCTCAATGTCAGCAGGGTGCACATCTTACCCCGGGTTTCCACGGGAGCCGTCAGCAGCACGTTACTGCAGCAGCACGTCTTGCTCGCGTAAACTGCTGCTTGGCCCTTCCCACGAGACGCGAAGCAGCAGGGGAGCAGCTGTCACCGACAGAGCACGAAGTCACACGAGTGACTTCGTCAGTAAACACAACAACAAGCAGGAGAAAACTACAACATGGTTTGTGTTTTATGTTCTGTCCGTTTCATAATCGCCAATACGGACCTGAAAAACAAAGGAGACCGCTAGTTATGTGATAACTTCTCACGGGGACGCACAGTTAGTAACCTTTTTTAAAAGTAAAGCAACCGGAAGGCAGTACGTTCTTTATTCTGAAAATCTCGGGAGCTTCTCTCCATTTCCACGTCTGATTTCCTGTCTTTCCTTCCCTAAAAATGTCGAAATTGACCCGTTTCAGAGGCGTCGCGTGTAGAAAATAGAACCGGCGCGTAAAGGCCGCGACATGTTGCTCCTGAGATGTGGCCGACTCGCGCTGCTGACGGCTCCAGTGGAAAAGGTTCTGTTGACCACAGCGGTTCCTATCAGCAGCTATGACGTGCTGCTGCAGTAACGTGCTGCTGACGGCTGCTGTGGAAAGCCGGGGTTAGTGACGTCATGTGTTATTGCGGTATTGCGATATAGCCAAAAACTCTATCATTACCCAATTTTATATTGTTTCTACCTTCTGTCGTTTATATAGCCCACCCCTACAACCTTGGTATCAAATAGCTCTGTGAGGATTGTTTCTTGGTCCTCACCAGGGTGAGTGTTTTGTTTTTTAAACTGTTTTATGGGTCAAGATGCTAACAGCTAGTATTAGTGACTAATGTCAACAAACATCCAACACACCTTATTGAGATCGTAAGCCCGACAATTGTTTGTTTTTAAAAGCAACCCACTTTCAGAGATCAAGTGAAACATCACTGAAGACATGGATTATTGGGAAGAAGGATTGAAAAGTCACTGCAGCTTATTTCAACTGATTCAACATATAGACTAGATGAATTACATTTCTTGCAGAAATGCTGTTTGAATGTTTGAACTGAAGCTGAACTGTCAAAATGAGCTAAACGTATTTGAAGATTTTGGAGCTAAACTCATTAACATGTGTAATAAAGCCTGAAAAGCAGAAAACAGACATCTCTGAACATGGTGTAAAAAACTGGACAGCTGAAATGTTTAAACACCTGGTATCTGAGTAGGACTAGTTTAGTGGGTATTTTTTACAGTTAGCTGAACTGTGAAATTAGCAGCATATGCTGAATTCTGAAACGGATAGCTGAAGTGAAGCTGAAACTAAACTAAACTGTAGAAATTAGCTGAATGTATTTGAAGATTTAGAAGCACAAATCACAAGTGTAATAAAGCCCCAAAAATAAGTGAAGAATGGAGAAAAAGTTAATAAATAGCAGAAAACAAAAATCTCTGAACATAGTTTTAAATCCTGGAAAACTGAAATGTTTAAACATCTGGTATTTGAGTAGGAATAGTTTAATTAGGGATGTTCCGGTCAAGTAATTTTCCCAATCCGATTCCGAGTCATTTGGTATTGAGTATCCGAGTCCTGATCCCATACTTTTCAGAAAAGCATTAAAACGAGAAGAAGAAAAAAATTTTTTTAGCAAAGCATTAAAATATGAAAAAAAGGGAGAAATAAATCAAGAAAGCATTAAAATAATAAGAAAACATCCAAATTGTCTTTTAAGTTTCACTTTCATTTGGTAAGGAAGTACACAGATTAAAAAAGTTGTTATATTGTGAATATACTTAAAAGTAGCAGCGTTGCTCTTATTTCAAGTTGTTTGCTTCCTCAATATGCAGCTGTGAGCAATGCTTGTTCAAGTGATGGAGCAGGCAGGTGGAGCCTTCGGCAGGCAGGGTAGCTTTTCTCTGCATAACACCTGTAGCTCCAGCGCGCAACTCCGTGCTGCACGAGAACTAGTCTAGTCTGCAGTCTGTTGGCAATTTCTCTTTGTTTGTTAGCGTAACTTTCTCTGTCAACTGGCTCCGCTTTTTTGTCTGACTTCACTGTTAACTTTGAGTGTTAAAAGTAAACTGGGGATTATTGGAGACCGGAGATTTGCTTTGTTGATGCCCGAAGGGAAAAGTCAACAGCGAAAGTAGCTTGTTTGAAGGCAGCATGTTGAATGCCCAGTTTCCACACATTACAAATGTCTGTAGCTCTGTTTTTGCTGTCCGGTTTAAAATACCACCAAGCTGCAGATATTTTAGTTCCTAAGGAGACACGTTAGCTCTGTGTTAGCAGGCTTGCTAACAGCGGCACTTGGAGTCCTTGCCTGCCATAAATTGCATCCCTAAGTTTAATAGTTGAATTTTCACAATTAGCTGAACTGTCCATTTAGCAGCATATGCTGAATTCTGAAACTGATTGCTGAACACAGGGGCGTCTCCAGGCTTTATGAAACACCTGGGCTGAGCCCAGACCACAAGCAACATTTCACTTAAGTAAAAACAAGTGTTACACAATTTTATGCACTGTAATATTACAGAATATCTTTTATATATATATATATATATATATATATATATATATATATATATATATATATATATATATATATATAAGAGAGAGAGAGAATTATGCAAAGTAAGTAGCCTAAATTTAGTTTCCAATGCATGCATGTTAAACAGTGAAAAATTACTGCAAAGTCAAACAATATTTCAGTAGGTATTTATTTCCAATATCACAGAAAAGCAAGAAAGTAAGGAAGAAATAAGTAAAATAAACAAATAAAGAAAGTGGCATATTTTAGTTACTGCTCTGGAATAAACTGTTTGTCACAGTCTGTCTTTTTCTTTTATTTATTACAAGAGTTTGGGATCATTAAAGTGTACCTTCTTGCTTTGATCATTGCAAACCTGTCTATGACTCTTATGGTCTGCAGAATGCACAGCATCCCTCTCAATGGCCATCGCAGCCAGGCTATTTAGCCTATTCTGACCCATGGTCAGTCTTAGCCATGTGTGTAGGCGACGTAGAGCACTGAAAGACCTTTCACAGCTGCAACTGCTCACAGGAATGGTTAATGCCACTTGAAACACTGCTCTGAGGCTTGGAAACATGGTAGGGTTAAGAAGAAGAAACACACTTGCCACATTTGAAATTGTGCCTTCTTTTTTCCCATCAGGAAGTGTTTTGCAACTACAATCTCTTCTTTTCTGAGTGAGATCTTGTAGTGATTGGCAATTAGTGCTAATGATTGTCCACATGAAGTCCTCTGCTGCTGGATGACAAGCTTGTATGCCTTTCATCAGATCAGTGCCAACACCTCTAAATCTTCTCTCCAGCTCACTTAGCATTCCATCAATGCATGGGTAGAATATGTGGTTTCTTAGCTCATCCCCAGAGCTTGCTTGACATCTTGTGCCTGTGGTAGACTCCACCACATAGTCATCTAAACGTCTTTGCTTTCTTTTTCGAGAGACATCTTGTGAATTGTTGGCCTCAAAAATATCTCTGGCCTGTTTGTCTAACTGATCTGCAGTTTCATCAGTCCGCATTGATTTTAGAGTTTCAAGGACGGCGTCTTTGTACATGGTAGCCTGGGCTAGGTCTATGTCCTCCTTCTGGAGGTACTTGTGGAGCCCCTCTGTAGTGGACAACAGACTTTTAAACATCACCAGCATATAAACACTAGATAATCTGACAAGTTGTGTGTGTGTAATCCAATTGCAATGGGATCATTCATTTCTGCCAGGCACCTAAGCAGTGCAGGGAAGTTAGCAATGACACAAGTTACAGACTGTAATTGGCATGCCCATCTAGTCTTAGATAGCTGAACTAGCTGACTCTCTTTTAAACCCAAGAATTTTTGCATGTCAGTGAAAGCCTTATGATTGATCAGAGAAACACTAAAGAAACTGTACAACCTCTAGTGTGTTCAAGAAATCACTGGCGTCTGACACAGCCTTGCAAGTGTGGCACAGCAACAAATTAAGTTCATGAGCATAGCAGTGCACATAAACTTCTTCTGGATGCCTTTGACAAAAAAGAGCCTGAACTCGTCCAACTGGACCACGCATCAAAGCTGCTCCATCATATGCTTGTGCAACACATTTCAGTTCTTGCAATCCATTTGATTCTAACACATTTTCTATGGTGTCTGCAATGGAAACAGCATCAAAGGACTCAAGGTTGGAAAGCTGAAGAAAACGCTCTTTCACTGTGTCATCAGACCCCACATAACGCACACAAACAGCAAGTTGCTCAACACGACCATCACGAGCTTCATCAGCCATCACTGCAAACATTTTTGAATGTATCATCTCATTAATGATCCCAGCAGTAACCTCATCAGCACAACACTTGATCATTTCATTTTGTGAACCAGGGGAAAGATAGGTGGAATGAGAGGGTGCACTGTGGTCTTTTAGAAACTGGTCAAAATTCCTCCAGGTAAGTCAAGAGCTCCAGGAAATTCCCCCGGTTGCTTGAGGAATCTGTTTCATCATGGCCTCGGAAAGGCATTCCCTGTTTAGCTAAAAAATATATTGTAGCCACAACACGACGAAGGTACTCTCTCCGTTCGGTGATCTGGTCAATGCTGGCCACGTTTATTTGGTCAACCACACTGCCTTTTGTCAAAGTTACCTTATAGCCATTCCAGGCAAGCATTGAAGCTTTTTGTCCTGCACATGTGTCATGCTCTCTGAAGCTGTCCAATGCTCTTTTCCAGTTAGAAAAACCAACCATGCTAGTGATGCTGTCTTTTTTTGGCCGCCATGCCTGCTTTCCAAAGACTCTGCAGCTATAGCAGACTGCTGAATTTTGAGTGATCGAATACTCCAGCCACTCAAAAGAGTCAAACCGCCACTCAAAAGAGTCAAACCATTTTCTTTGGAATGACCTTCTCTACGTAGACGACATACTGGAAATCATACCAAAAGGACAACCAGAAACACTAACACAACACTTGAATAACATTGACGACACAGGTAACATAAAGTTCACATATGAGACAGAAACAGAAGGCAACATAGCATTTATGGACATGAAAATAACCAGGCAGACCGACGGGACCCTAAACATAAACACATATAGGAAACCAACACACACAGACCAATATTTATTATGGACATCAGAACACCCTACCATACACAAAATGTCAGTAATCAGAACATTATATCACCGAGCAAACATGATAACTAAAGAAAGAGACCGTAAAGAAGAGGACAAACACATACAACACGCTTTAAAGACCTGCGGATACCCGACATGGGCGATAAAGACAGAAAGGAAAACAACAAACAACAACAGAAAGAAAAGAACAACCAAAGCAAAGAACCAGAAACCCAGAAAGACAAGGATCAAAACCAGTGATAACCCTACCATATATCAAAAGCATAACAGAAAAAATAAGAGCAACAATGAAAAAACACAACATAAACGCACCAACAAAACCATACACAACAGTTAGAAACAGACTAGTACACACAAAAGACAAAGTACCAGCAGGACATAAATGTGGAGTCGTATACGAAATCCCATGCAAACTCTGCAATAAAACATACATAGGAGAAACCGGATGCCAACTCAACACACGAACAATAGAGCATAGAAAGGAGTGCGAGAGAGAAACAAGTCGAAGACACACAAGAGCAGCAAAACAAGAAGCAGAAATTACAATAAAGAAGTCAGCCGTAACAGATCACTGCACAAGAGAAAACCATGAACAGAGACAATGGGGTCTACACATTGGATCGTGCATGGGACTGCATCACCTGAGAGGGGAGAGCGGGCAGCAGAGGGCGACAACGTCCTCTGCTGCCCGCAGATAAACGGAGTAGGAAGTGACGCCTGAGGAATTTTGCATTCGCGAACGAAACTGTCAGCAAGCAAGGTAAAAAGAAACCTTTTCTGTGTTTTAAAAAAGAACCAAAATGGAATTAGAAATCAGACACAGCAAGAACGTACCAAAGATGGGTAAGACTGCCAACCTGACTGCTGTCCAGAAGGCCATCATTGACACCCTCAAGCAAGAGGGTAAGACACAAAAAGAAATTTCTGAATGAATAGGCTGCTCCCAGAGTGCTGTATCAAGGCACCTCAGTGGGAATTCTGTAGGAAGGAAAAAATGGCAGAAAACGCTGCACAACGAGAAGAGGTGACCGGACCCTGAAGAAGATTGTGGAGAAGGACCGATTCCAGACCTTGGGGGGGGGGGGGGGGGGGGGGGGGGGCTACAGAGAAGCAGCATTGGTTGCTCAGTGGTCCAAAGTACTTTTTTCGGATGAAAGCAAATTTTGCATGTCAATCGGAAATCAAGGTGCCAGAGTCTGGAGAAAGCCTGGGCAGAGGGAAATGCCAAAATGCCTGAAGTCTAGTGTCAAGTACCCACAGTCAGTGATGGTCTGGGGTGCCATGTCAGCTGCTGGTGTTGGTCCACTGTGTTTTATCAAGGGCAGGGTCAATGCAGCTAGCTATCAGGAGATTTTGGAGCACTTCATGCTTCCATCTGCCGAAAAGCTTTATGGAGATGAAGATTTCATTTTTCAGCACGACCTGGCACCTGCTCATTGTGCCAAAACCACTGGTAGATGGTTTACTGACCATGGTATTACTGTGCTCAATTGACCTGCCAACTCTCCTAACCTGGACCCCGTAGAGAATCTGTGGGATATTGTGAAGAGAAAGTTGAGAGACGCAAGACCCAACACTCTGGATGAGCTTAAGGCCGCTATCGAAGCATCCTGGGCCTCCATAACACCTCAGCAGTGCTACAGGCTGATTGCCTCCATGCCACGCCGCATTCAAGCAGTCATTTCTGCAAAAGGATTCCCGACCAAGTATTGAGTGCGTAACTGAACATAATTATTTGAAGGTTAACTGTTTTTGTATTAAAAACACTTATTTTATTGGTCGGATGAAATATGCTAATTTTTTGAGATAGGAATTTGGGGTTTTCATGAGCTGTATGCCAAAATCATCCATGTTAGAACCAATAAAAGGCTTGAACTGCTTCAGTTGTGTGTAATGAATCTAATATATATGAACGTCTAATGTTTATCAGTACATTACAGACAATAATGCACGTTATCACAATATGTTAATTTTTTGAGAAGGACCTGTATGCGACGTGCCGACGTCTGATTTGTAATCATAGTAATTACTAATTTTTACTAGCTGATAAATCCTAAAGTACGTGTCAGACGTGGTCAAAACACAAATAATTAATTTTCATTTAAATTTAAGTGCAAAATATTGGCGATTCAGGGTGTAAGGCAAAGCAGATTAGAAAATAGCTCTTTTATCACCATTCACATACATTCATTTTTTTTCTGGGAGCCCATGAGCCAACTGAAAGGGAAGGAGACTAGGCTCCCTTTTCTGCAGCTGATCTCCAGTTCAAAACAACAAGCATAAAGCTCACATCCTTTAATTCTGGGCCTTGAAAATTAGCTATTTGTTGCCGTTACATGTTTGTTGTTTTGTTAAGGTAAACAAAGAAGTAAGGTGCTTGGTGTAAACATAAAGTTAATGTTTCTGTGTTTCAATGTTCTCTGTAGATGTTCAGCAGACGGTGTTGAATAAAGAAGCAGCTCCTAAAGAACTAAGCCCTGGTGTGAGCCAGATGGACCTGGAGACCCTCAACGTGAAGGAGGAAGAGGAGGAGCCACTTCATGAGATGATGGAGACTTATGCCACCAGGATATCATGCACTGCAGGTTCTTGTCAGTGTGAGGAGGATGAAGACAAATTTCTGTTGTCACAGTTCAATCAGCAACAGGCTACTGACCGAGATCTTCCAACCAGCAGCTTTTCTGTCCAGATCAAAGGAGAAAGTGGTGAAGAGGACTGTGAAGGAGCAGAAAGTACCAGGAATGCAGATCTAAATCCTTATGAAGATGATTCCAACTCTTCTGGGACTGATTTCAGTGAGAATAAAGATGACCAGGAAGAGAACATATGTGACTGTCAGCTGAAATCCTTGTCAGACTCTGAGCCAGAAACTGAAGACAGTCAAAAAGAATGGAACGAGAGTGGGTCATCTGAGTCAGATGTTAAGGCTGTGAACAAATCTTTAAGCTGCCCTGAGTGTGGTAAACGTATTTTCCACAAAGGGTCTCTCCAGAAACATGTGAGAGTGACAAGTTATTCAGCAATGAGGTCTTCAAGATGTTGGGAAAATAAAAAAGGTGTTGGAGTGGAGCAAAATGTAGACTCATGCAGGAAAGTCCAGAAGCAACTAAAATCATTTAGTTGTGATGATCGTGGATTTTCTTTTAGCGATGAATCAAAACTTAACAGTCACATGAGAGTCCACACAGGTCAGAAACCTTTTGCTTGTGATGTTTGTGGACAAAGATTTGGCTATAAGGCACATTTTATCAGTCACATGAGAGTCCACACAGGTCAGAAACCACTTGCTTGCGATGTTCCTGGACAAACATTTAGTGAAAACTCAAATGGACACCTGCAAGTCCACACTAAACAGAAACTTTTTATGTGTGATGTTTGTGGACAAAGATTTAACTGTAAGCCACATTTGATTGGTCATATTAGAGTCCACACAGGAGAGAAACCTTTTTCTTGTGAGGTCTGTGGACAAACATTTAGTCAGAAGACAGCTTTAATAACTCACATGAGAGTCCACACAGGACAGAAACCTTTTGTGTGTGAGCTTTGTGGAAAAAGATTTAGCCAATTGGCAAGTTTAAACAGACACATAAGAGTCCACACAGGGTATAAACCATATTCTTGTAAGTTCTGTGGACAAAATTTTTTCCATAAGACACATTTAAACAGACACGTAAGTGTCCACACAGGACAAAAACCTTTTCCATGCGATGTTTGTGGAAAAGAATTTAACCAAAAGACTAATTTAAACACTCACATGAGAGTCCACACAGGACTGAAACCTTTTGTGTGTGATGTTTGTGGAGACAGGTTCAGGCATAAGGTCAGTTTAAACACACACATGAGAGTCCACACAGAAAACAAAACAGATTTAACTACAAGGGTTCCTACTGGTACAACTTAATGTTCACATCCTAGATTTCGGTTTTGTGCTTCCAGCGGCAGCTCTTTCTCCTAGATCAATCCAGGTTCTGGAAGGCTACTAGCATGTGCTAGTTTCCCTGCTACACTATTGACCCTTTGCACGTGACATCACACCACTCATGGGACTGCCCCCTTCGCCATGATGGACGGCAAAAAGACCGTTTACACATTTAGAAACTCCGGTGAAGCTAGTCAAAACAAGCCCGTTTGTAGCCTTTAATCACTTATTTAGTTGGTTTCACAGTAAAATGGTAACAACTTGCTACTTGGCTGGCTGCACTAACAGACAAGAATGTAAAGTCAACTTTTTTTTCTTCTTCTTCAAATAACGTTGATCGAGACTGAGGACGGAGATGAACTGCAGCGATCAATCAAACGGACTAGCAGCCCTCAGGTTTACAGTGAACATGTTTTTACTGGGTATGGTTAATGTTTATTTATTTCATGACGAAGACGGGGACAGGGACAAATGTGTGCGTTCTTCTGATGGATGGATATTCCACCATGGAGGATGCGCGGTACCGTCCACTGTAGTGAAATGCGAGATAATTAATTACAATATTGCTCCAATGTATTTTTACGTGTGTTAAAATTACGTTTTTTTAGTATGAGTGTTGCCGTTAAGAGAGATCTTGTCTCATCCTGGTGTGAGAGCAGCAGCTGAACACGCGGTGACACCACCAGCAACAAAAACTAGTAGGGATCCGGACGTTTCAGCTTCAGTGTAAAGTGAAACACTGTTTATAACATAATGTTATAAATCCAGTCGGTTGAATTTAGTCAAAGTAGGCAGCTTGTTTACATCGGTGAACAGCTGCAGAGAGAACTTAAGCTAACGTTCGTAAGCTAGTTAATAACAGTTAACTTTTGCAAATAACGCTCTCTATGAGCCCCATCTAGGTGTGCTACCTCTTCAGATAACTGAACATGGGCTTGAACTAGTAGAGGGAATGGTAAAGATCGCAAAAATCAATTTCAGGCTCTACGTTTCCCTTTGTTTAGTACTTATGTTGCTCACTGTTTACACGCTTTTGCCGTCCAGTATGGCGGACCCACGTGATTAGGTGACGTCGGTGCAAAGGGTCAATACAAAGGTTAGATTCAATTCAATGGTTAAGTCACCTGGTCAGCAATTCATCAAGCTCTGAAGAAGTCATCACTTATTAATATCAGGTGTGCTGGAGCAGGGAGGAAACAAAAACATGCAGTAATTTTCCATTTTCACTTGTGGTAAACTCCTGTCCTATTAGGGGGTGCGTGAGTGTGTCCAGCAGTAGCATGTCTTCTTAAAGCGACAGCCCTGAAACCGCTCATTCTGGAAGGATCTGAACTCCAATATGAAGTTCATGATGCCTGTTCTTTCTATACTTATAAGTTTTTTCTATTTGACAATAAGTTTTTTGGGGGTAAAAAAAAAAAAAAGGTGGATCGTTCTTCACCTGTACCAACATTTTTGGCTTCTCACTTGAAGCCTTCATGAGTTGTCAACTGTATAGACACTGACGTGGCTTATATCCGGAACCCCTGTGCACGTCATGTGGAGGGGTGAGAGAATCTGTCGGGTCTGAGCGTCCTCCCACATATGATCGGCGTTGCCTTGATGAGTGTGTCCCAAGTGTTGGACAGTTTACAAGCCACCTCGTCTGTTGATAGTTTTTGGTTCATGTTCTATTCTCTGATTTGAATGGCTTCTTTTATCCATCTTTTGTATTTGTCACTTCCTCTTCCTACAATGCAGATGTTTTCCCAGTCCTTTATGTTGTTGTTTTGCTTGCAGTGATTGGTAATTACAGATTAGTGTCTCTTTTCCGTGGTGTGTCTTTTGTGTCTGGTGAGTCTAGCCTGAGTTTCTTTTTTGCCATCTTAACGATGTTTTGTTGGTTCATGTGCCGAGGGACCTTCCAGTTTCTCCGCTGTAGCATTTGTTGCATGTGCAGCTGGGTACTTTATAGTCTACCGTACATTGCATAGTTCTTGTTCATTTTTCCTTTCGGATGTACAAATAAGTGTTTTAATTTCTTATGAATTTTGGCTGTGGTGCCTATGTGGTGTTTATGTTGGGTCCTTCTGACCCGCTCAGTTATTCCTTGTATATATGGTATTTTTACAGTTTTCTTTTAATTCTGAATTCACCGTTCAATTATGAACACGTTTTGTGTAGACCATAGCACTTTTAGAACTTGAAGAAAAATGTCATGTGTTCCCTTTAAAGTCATAACTACAGCTTTTGTTTTTCTGAAAAGTTTACCATTGGTGTAAAAAAAAACAAGGTAATTATGGTGTATGCCGCTTATGATGTCTTTTCCTGATTAGAAAGAGGCAGTGAATACTCCAAAAAGTAGTTTTTAATTCAGATTTAAGATTCCTGTCTACTTCCTAAAGAGACTCTGGAAAACGGAAACAATGGAAAATGTTTTTTCATGTTGTAATTTTAAAATGTTGCCCCAGTTCAAATAAAAAAATTCTGTATACCATTAATTGAACTGCTATAACATCAGGTACATTAAAATACTGTAATCTGAAGAAGAAAACCAGTTGAAGTCAAGGAAGAAGAGACTCATCTAAAGCTCATTTATGAAGAACTAAAGTTCAGTTTACATTTCTACAGCTTGCTATCACCCTCTTTTTGTAGTTTGATGACATTACAACAAGTAGTTGAAGAACCTGTTATAAACATTAAGAAATAGACGATTAAATGGCATTAATACACATTTTTTTTTCTGCGTTCTGATTCTGACAGACCACTATCACCCTCTTGTGGAGATTTTTCCAATGTCTGAACAGAGATTTAAAGGACACATTTTAAGTCTTATGTAACAATCCACACAGGATAGAAATCTCTTTTGACACAAAACAAGTGTAGTCTGATTTCTGATAAATACGAAAATAATATGAGCGTAAAAACAATTGCCTTTTGGCATTCGTTTGACTAATTTTTATCATCTTCTTTTCTAAATATTAAATAAATTAGAAACTACAGAGTAATATTTCTTGCAAAATTACGTCGAATGCTCATTGCTGAATTATTTGCTGGAACTGGTGTACCTGAAGTGAAGCTTAAGTTTGAAAATTAACAGAAAGAGAAACCAGGGATGTTCTGATCACATTTATTTGCTTCCGATCCAATTCCCGGTCATTTGAGTTTGAGTATCTGCCGAAATTGAGTCCCGATTGGATACTTTTCAGAAAAAGCATAAAGTTAATAAGAATTTTTTTGGCAAAGCATTGAAATAAATAAATAAAAGGGGGGGGGGGGGGGGGGGTTGGATCAAGAAAGTATTCAATTCAAATAAGAAGAAATCACATCCAAATTGTCCTTTAACTTTTTTTAGGAAGTACTCCGATTGAAAACTTGTTTATATCGTAAATATAATTCAAAGTAGCTGTGTTGCTCTTATTTGAAGTTGTTCACTCCCTGAATATGCAGCTGTGAGCAAAGCATGTTCACGTGTTGGAGCAGGCAGACGGACCCTTAGGTAGGCAGGGCTCTTTTCTCTGCATTACACCTGTAGCTCCAGCGTGCAGCTCCGTGCTGCAGGAGAACTAGTCTAATTAAAAAAAAAAAACTGTAGTCTGTTGGCAATTTCTCAGTTTGTTCGTTAGTAGTGATGGGAATTCCAGCTCTTTTTAGAGGGTCGGTTCTTTTGGCTCAGCTCCCAAGTGGCTCCTCAGATTTTCTGTTGCATAGAGTACATTTATAACCAAAATAATGCAAAACTATATGTAAAACTATTTACTAATGTAAAAAAATGCAATATATCAAATATTTATAATTTCTATGGATTTAGTAACTGAACACTTAAACCACCAAATACTTCCCGAGCGCGGCTGTGTCTGCAGCTCACCGCTCCCCCAGGGGATGGGTCAAATGCGGAGAACAAATTTCGCACACACACCTGTGTCTGTGACAACTAATGGGACTTTAACTTTAAGAAATCTTCCGACTGCTGGTTCTCATTTTCTCACCGTCTTCGTCGCACTCTCCTCTCTCTCGCTCGCCTTTTTCCCTCTCATCTCCCTCCGCCCGCATGTGCTCTGCTGTGTGTCTGAGTCTGATCCTCCCTCTTCCCTGCCCCTACTGTGTGTGGACAGTCTGGACATGCAGTTACACATGTTGACCAATCGCCTGTAGTTTTCACCAAAGCAAGAGGGAAGGGGGTAGGGGACGGCTCCCAATGACGAGCCGGCTCCCGTCGTTCACTTCAAAGAGCTGGCTCTTAGAGCCGGTTCATTCGCGATCGACACATCACTATTCATTAACGTAACTTTCTCTGTCGGCTGGCTCTGTGTTTTTGTCTGACTTCACTGTGACTTTTAGAGGTAAACTGGGGATTAATGGAGACCGGTGATTTGCTTCGTTGATGCCCGAAGGGAAAAGCCAATAGCGAAAGTAGCTTGTTGGAAGGCAGCAAATCATGGAGCTGTTTCCTTCCAGCATGCTGAATGCTCATTTTGCACATATTACAAGTGTCTGTAGCTCTGCCTTCGCTATCCAGGTTAAATACCACTAAGCTGCAAATATTTTAGGTCCTGAGGAGACATGTTAGCTCTGTGTTAGCAGGCTTGCTAACAGCCGCACTTGGTGTCTGAGTCTTTGCCTGTCGTAAATTGTGTGATGTTACTGTGTTGTTTTCGTACAAGAAACAAATATTATTGATGTAGAGGGACTTATTGAAATGACAACTAAGTAATTTTTATTCAATTTGAAAATATCTAAGGATGAATTTTAAAAGTCATCTTTGTTGTTTTAAAAATCCGATTTATTTCTTCCGATTCTAATCCCCTCAAAAACACGTGATCGGCCCGATTTCCGATCACGTAATCGGATCAGAGCATCCCTAGAAACTAGCAGAAGATTATGAAGACGAGCGACAATACATCAGAAAAAGATTAGTTGAAGAAGATAAACTAGCGCAGTATCAGCAATAGTAAAATCAGCAGAAGAAAAAAAATGGCAGGAGACGGTTGAAAAAGCACAAACTGTTTAGAAAATTGGAAAACAGGTTAAATAGAACAAATGTGCTTAAACAGTTAAACTGTTATCAGCCTGAAACACAGGAGTCTACCCTGAACTGAGAGGGGAAAAAAAGGTGGAAACACTGCTCAAACAAACTACCTGTACAAAGTGTGAGGGTTTAACTGTGAGAGGCTGGAGGCTTTGGTGGTGGTCGTCTGGGTATATTTCTGCAGCTTCAATAGGCAGCACCAGTCCATAGGGCGCCTATGTAGATGACGTCTGTGCTCTTGCATATTCGCTGAGGAGAGGACATCCGGCTGATTGGTGTCAGGAAGCATGTGGTTGTGTTCAAGACGTATACGTATTGACTAAGTACGGCTAATTCCAGGTGAGCTCAGTCCAGCTTTTGATACTGTGGACCACAAGATCCATCTTGATAGACTCCTAAACTGGGTGAGATTATCAGGCACTATTCCATAGTTGGTTCCGATCATATCTCGAATACGGGTTATGTTTTTTCTATTGGTGATCACAAATCAAAGCTGATCTCCATGACATGTGGGGTCCCCCAAGGCTCAATTTTTGGACCACTGCTCTTCAATCTCTATATGCTCCCCCTGGGTCAGGTCATATGCAATAACAGCATTATCTATCCAGAGTGTGGCAAGGTGGACAAACGAGGGCCCGGGCAGGATTTCATCCCCAGACTCCCGGGTGAGAGTCATACGCACTAACCAGTCAGCCCAAGGGATATCCCCTTGGCCGAGTAGCCAGGGTGCATGATCAATCGGGACACTGTGACAGGACGCTCACACTGCCACATCTTCCGCCCTCTTTCCACAAGCACGTCCTCGTGCTCCCGCGCAGGGTGCCACAAACTTCACATCCATGGACCTACTTGACAGTACTACATGGATCCTGCCGACAATGCCAAATGTGGCAAGGTGGAGAAACGAGGGCCCGGGTGGGATTCGATCCCCCAGACTCCCGGGTGAGAGTCATACGCACTAACCAGTCAGTCAGCCCTTGGCCAAGTAGCCAGGGCACATAATCAATTGGGACACTGTGACAGGACGCTCACACCGCCACATTAAGCAAAGTGGGAATGGGAGAACAGGGACCCAAAGGTGTGATAAGGGGACCTGTGGAGGTGATGACATAAAAGCTAATCTGACGGGGACTCTGGTACACAAAGCACGGTAGTGCACTGTAGTTATAGATGGTGAAAGATACTTAAAGCATGCTTTTCCTGCCCAATAAAGTGGCAGTAGGTTTCATCTTGTACTACGTGAGAGAGTACATACCGAACAAAGCTGAGGTGTGGACTCGAGTCACATGACTTGGACTCAAGTCAGACTTGAGTCATTATTTTAATGACTTCTGACTTGACTTGATAAAATCTATAAAGACTAATGACTTGACTCAGACTTGAATGCAAATGACTTTTGACTTGAATCGACTTGCATCTGTTGACTTGATGATGACTTGAGCATATCTGATATTTTAGCACAAAAGTGGCACGACATGAACAAAAATCATGAATCCTTCTTCGTTCTGTGTTTGATCTTGTTCTGCTAAATGCAGCAGCACTTTGTTTATAATCAGTTTCAGTTGCACTTCCTGCTTGTTTGAGGAAATAAATGAAGCTTTAAGATGCTTTATTTCTGGAATTTATTTATTATCATTATCATTAAATTGAAGTTGGACAGATGACTTGATTATGACTTGAAAATTCAAAGTTAAGGACTTGGACTTGACTTGGACTTCCACATCATTGACTTTGGACTGGACTTGGACTTGGTTGTCTTTGACTTGGACTTGACTCGAGACTTGACTGCAAAGACTTGTGACTTAAGCTTGGTTTATGCTTGACGCATTCACTTTCCGCGCGGTGATGCGGCTCGCGGCTGGAACGCGCTTCACAACTCGCAGCGTTTATGGTTTGTGCGGCTCGTCTCTGCGGTGAGCCAATATTCTCCCAAACTGAACGGGGCAGCATGGAGCTCTACAGCATGCACCCAACACTACACCATAGTAGAAGTAGAAATCACTGTTTACAACATGGCATTTCAGCAAATGACGCAACTTTTCCGCGCGGAGCCGTGCGGACCTCGCGGACGCGTCAAGCATAAACCAACCTTTACTTGTGACTTGCAAAGCAGTGACTTGGTCACACCTCTGGAACAAAGCCCTTCAAGTATTTTTCCAGAATACTTCTCTTATCCGATGGCACCATCTAGTTGCTGACAAGCATATCACACAAATAATCTCGTGATCTGTTTTTTTAAGATGGCGACTTCAAGTTTCTTGTTTATGAATGTAACATCACGAACTGGCCTGATTTTGAGATCCCACAGGTCAAATGCACAGCCAGATCAACTTACCCTGGCTATGACATCCTACAGTATCTTTTCCCCTCACAGGAGTCTCGGAGTCTGCATGTAGTCCCTTTAATCAGAGGGGTTGGACTTTCTACCACTCTGGAGTTGCTCCCACTGAGAGGTGCCACGGTCTTGATTGGGTTATTCATCTGGCAGCGATGACAACATCTGACCTGAAAGGCATATTCCAAACAATATGTCTAGGAAACCCTAAACCAGTTGATGTAAATTGATAATAAAAAAAGACAGAAACAAATGTTGAAATGTAAGTGAGCAAGTAAATACATTCAATTATATAGTCTACAGAGGTTTTAGAAAAAATTATGACGACCTGATTTAGCTTCTTCACTCAAATAAGGCCATTACCCATTCAC